CTCTCATCACTGATGTTTCCATCTCTCCCTCCCTCTCCCTTCCTCTCTCTGAAATCAATAAAAACATATTTAACAAACAAACAAACAAAAAATGGTGGGACAAGCAGGCCTCAGGAGGCACCTCCTAACTGCATGACTGTGGGCAAGTCCCCTGCCTTTCTGATCCTCAATTTCCTCATCTGTAGAGAGAGGACAATGGCCCCCATGACTGTTTGAGGATTAATGGTGGTCATGCTGATACAGCAACAAGGCCCACCTGGGACCAAGCAGCTATGTTTCCAGCTTCCCACTGTCCTACGGCTGAGAGGGCAGCAAAGGAAACGAAGAAATTCCATGAGTGAGAAAAAAAATTCCAGTGTTGGACAGGGAAGTGAGTGGCCAGGGCTTAGGCCCGTGATCACTTTCTAGGTTGTAAACACGGAAACAGACAGGTCTGGAGGCCTCAAGCCCAGGGCCAAGGCAGGATGCTCCTGGGTCCAATTCCGTGTCAGAGGGACATTCAGCGAGGCCGTGACTAAATAATTCCATTGGCATCTGCGCTGCACGCAGCCCAGAGCGTTTACTAGGAATTGGAGACGGATTCACAGTGCGTCAGCTGCTGCCAGGAAGCCCACACTGATTCCTCACCGAGTGTGGGCCTGGGAACAGGGCAGGGGGCTTAGGGCTGAGCCGAGGGGGCCGGGCCTGATGTCACAGCCTCGCCCCCTCGAATGGGAAGCTGCATAGTTTCTCTGAACTCTCCCAGCTTTAGCATCAAATGACCCTGTGATGAGTCAGCGGGAGGAAAAGCCCCCTGGCCGAACAAAGGGATGGCAGAGAGCAACTGAGTTCTCTCCTCCTGGGGACCCAGGGGGCCTTCCCCACAGAACTGGACCCGAATTTCCCCTTCAGCTTTAAGGAAGCAGCGTTTGCTTTGGCTCGAACTTTAAATCCCTTTTAAGAGACAGAGGAGCGGCAATGCCACAGGCTCGGAAAGGGAGCTGGAAGGTTCGGAGGAGCCCCGCCCGCCCCTTCTCATCTGGGAAGGCTCTGGAATGTGGGGGGGGGTGACTTACACTTCTGTGGTGATGAATCCAGTGAGCTCCGACAGGAAGAGGAAGAAGATGAAGAGGCAGCAACAGACGGAGACTGCAAGACACAGACACGCACAGTGAGGGCGGAGGGCGCTGAGGAGGAAGGCAGACCCCCCCCCCGCCCTCAGGGAAGAGGGGCTCACAGGGAGTGCGAGGGACACCCCTTGCTCACCCTTCCTACTCTTGATCTCAATATGAAGCAGCCCCGCTCCCAGAAAGGGAGACTGGTGCTGATCGGACTCTCCCGTGCGGACCAGCCTCCCACCAGGCAGACCCTCGAGGGGCGGCCCAGCTTTCTTCCACAGAGTCCTTTAATGCAGAGGTCGGTCAGACACAGGAGCCAAGTGCTGGCCCACAAATGGGCTTGAGAGGGACATGTTTTAAAATATGGAGTCAGCACTGAACAGTCTGGAGATTGCCCATAAAAGTCCAGATTTCTGGCTACTCCAGAGCACTCAAGCCCTTGTACCCACATGGGGTCTGAGCTCACCAGTTTGCCACAGGCCCCACCACTCCCTCCTGCCTCCCTCATTCCTAGGCCGTGTCTGTTGCCATGGTACCATCAACATTGTGCCCGTGGCCCCACTGAAAGTAGGGAAACGAGGATACCAAGCTCTGCACTTCAAGAGAAGGGCCCGTCGGAAACGCAGAGAGTAGAACAGGGCGCCAGGGTTGGCCCACTCCACTTGTACTGCCCTTGTCTGCCTGGCCTCTGACGATGTTGGCGTTTGTGGCTCTGGAGTCACTCCTTGGGGCAGGATATAACAAGTATCCAGGGGTCTGGCCCTCAGCTCATCTCCAGACCCATATTCTGACACCCCTCAAACATCCAACCACCCAGCCACACCGATCCACATGCTGTTTCCTAAATATGCGTCTCACTTCTGTTCTTTTGCTGCTGTGGTTCCTCTGCCTGGAATGACTTTCCCATCTTCCCTCCTCCTCCATGTTCATCCTCTCTGTGTGGTGAACTCCTACTCATCCTTCCAGGCCGAGGCCCAGCTCAAATGTTCCTTCTGGTGGGAAGCTCACCCGGTCCCCAGAAGTGGGGCTGGTTACTCTTTCCTCTGTGTTCCCAGCCTCCATTTGAACACTTCCCACATTTTAATGGTTATTGATGGCTGTTCCTCTTACTAGACTGATATCCCAGAAAGCAAAAGCTCCAAGCTCCAGAGCTCGGCCTGGGGCTGGGCACACGGGAAGTAACAGAAGCTATTGTGTAAGGCAGGGAGTCAGCCCCCCGAGTCCTGAATGAGGGCTGAGCATGCCTCAGCTGGGCTTGTCTCAACGCCATGTAGTGGGCAAGGGCTCGCACGCTGTGTCCCTGGACACAGAGGTAAAGTTCCTTAACCTTTTCCTGCCTTAGTTTCCCCATCTGTAAAATGGCAACAGTACACTAGCTCATTATTAGGACTTTTAGCACAAAGACCTTGAAAGGTCTGGTGGCTTGGGAACAAATGGGTCAGCCCTTAGTTTCCTGCAGAGAGAGAGAGAAAGTTCCCAGCCCCACTTGCTGATTCTGCTACATTCCCGACAGCCGGTGCCTGGACTGGCTGAGCCCTCGGGATGGATGCTGAAACCGATCACCGCCATCACTGCTAGTAGTAGTAGTGTTATTTCATCATATCCATCCATCCACAGTCAGAGATGCATTCTGGGTGAGGAGAGAGAGCGGGTGTTTGCTGGGCATCTACTATACGGCCTGCCGTGGGAGCATTAATAGACACTCGTCACTGCGCACTCCCAGGGGACGCGGCACGAGCCCATGTTCAGGGTGTAGATATGAAGGCTCAGAGAGAGGAAGAGACTGGCCCTGGGGCCATACTGCGCGGGGGACAAGACTGGAACCTGCGCATCCTAGAGCCAATTCCCAAAGAAAAGCAACCCCAAGAGCTCAGGCTGCAAGTGAAGGGCCCAGGGACATCCCCAGGGTCCCCAACAAGCTTCCAAAACCACACCAAGACACGGGGGATACTAGAGTTACTCCCCAAATTCTGAAAGAGCTGTCTGGGGCAGCATTAAAGGGTTTCACTTTTTTTGGAAGCGGTAATACACACACATGATGAGAAAGTGGCCGAGCTGCGTTAAAAGGCACAGACCGTGCGAGTCTTTCTCACGCCTGACCGCAGTCTCCTGCCTCAGGTCCACCGTTACAATCTTGTGTCCTTCTCGGTCGCATGAGCTCAGACGTGTAACTCCTTTTTTCTAAGCGAACAGCAGCCCAGGGCACACGCCCCTTCGGCTGCGAGCTACTCCATCAGCAACCCGTGCCCAAGCAGGTGCCGCGTCGGTTTTACACAGGGTGCCCACGTTTGCCCGTCTCTATGGGCCAGGCACGCATTTCTAACGCCTCCTCCGGCTGCTGAGCAAGCCCGCTGCAGGGAACAGTCCGAGTGGCCTGGCTCATGTCCTCAGCTTCGCACCTGCAAACTGCAGCGCTGACACATCCTGGAAAAGGGCCCCAGCGAGCGGGCCAAGCACCCCTCCTCAGAACAGCATCACATCGCGGGGGACCTGTTTTTCAGAATCGTTTTTGCCCCTCTCACCCACCCTGAAGCCCCAGAAACCCACAGGCCGCTGCAGTGATGAATGAGCCCAAAAGCAGCAGGCGTTTCTGAAGGTCAATGCTGACTTAGGCCTGCCCAGGTCTCCTAACTGCCTTCCTGGCCTTGGGCCTGCGGATCTCCAGGTTCTTCCTCTGTCCATGTTGGAAGTGGACAGACAGGGCTGGCAGGGCCTCTCTCTGAAACCTGTGTGCCCTGTTCAAGGCTCTGAGGAAGCCTGGCCGAGCTGGCATGCGGACACCATGAGCACGAGTCTGCCCGGCTGAAACCCAGTGCCCAACAGCCTCGATCACTCGAGCTCGGTGTCTGCTCCCCCAGCCCTGCCCCCAGATGGGAGGAGAGGCGGTGTCTCAGCACCACTGCGGCCTCGGGGTCCAGCAGGTGCCTGGCTTGAAGGAGATAACGAAATAAATATTTGTTGAATGAATGAATGAAAAGTGTGAAGGCCAAGTAGGAGGTGTTTCAGCCAGAAAGGCCCTCTGATACTGAAGGCTCAACAAGGGCTTTTCGATCCATGTTTGGGCAAGACGCTAAGGCTCCAGCCTTCTTCTGAGACTGACTCAGGCACTGGATGGGTGGAATGTGACCCCAGGAGAATGCTGGCAAGTGGGCAGCCAAAAAAGGGGGCCCTAGACCTGAGACCCAAGACACTGGGACGTGAATTAATTTGTACAAGGCCACATGGCCGTTTAAGTGGAGGAGGCAACATTCGAGCCCAACCCGTGAGTCTCCAGCACCCTTGCTGGTGTCTTCAGTTATTAATAGTACTTATCACATCAGAAAACGTGTCTGTGTCTGCTGCCCCGCTCGGCCACGTGCTCCTCCAGGACAAAGCCCAAAGCCCATTCATCAGTGTGGTCCCGGTCCTGGCACAGGGCCTGGCCCCAGGACCTGGTTAATAAATATTTGTTCACTGAATGGGAGCTAAGGGCTGGCTTCCCAGGCCTCACGCCTTTCCCCTCGTGGAAGGGAATCTGCTGCCGGGCACGCTGTGACTAGGACCGCAGAAGAGACCGCATCTCCGGAGGGCCATGTGGCAGCACCTCCTGAAGTTTACGGCGGACAGGTTCTCTGACCCAGTAATTCCGCTTCTAGGAAGGTTACATTACAGAAATAACCATGCACGGATACAAAAAGGTATGGACAAAAATGTCTATAATAGCAACAAAATGGATTCAGCAATGTCCACCCTCTGCAGGCTGGTCACGTACACGGTGGGTCACCCAGATAATGCGACATGACACAGCTGGAAGAGAGGAGTGTGGCGGCCAAGCATGTGCTGCTAGAAGGTGTCCAGGACACATCAGCTGGAAGGAAGGCCGGGGAGATGGTGGGCACAGCTGCGCCCGTCTGTGCTGAAAACAATGATATACGCATACTAAAGCCTGATTATACTTTTTTTCCATTTTTAAAAATATGCTTTTATTGATTATTTAGCACAGAAGGGAAAGGGAAAGAAAGATAGAAACATCGGTGAGAGAGAACATCGAACGGCTGCCTCCCGCAGGCCCCTCACTGGGGATCGAGCCCACAGCCCAGGCAGGTGTCCTGACCGGGAATCGAACCGGAGACCTCTTGGTGCATAGGCGGATGCTCAACCACTGAGCCACACTGGCTGGGTGCCTGACTATCCTTAAAAAAAAATTCTAGAAGGATACACAACTGATAGTTAAACGTACTGACATGGGGAGAGACTGTAGAGATGGAGAAGAGGTTTGAGCTGTCAGCTGGAGGTAGGAAGGGGATGGGCCTGATCTGACGTTTCTGGCCCAGGTTCATAAAACAGTTAAGCAGGTAGAAGAACAAGCCCCTTTCCGCTCATGTCCCCCGAATATCCTTTCCGTGGGGATCAAGGCACAAGGTGTCACAGCTTCTGTGGTCACAGACCAGCACGGACTGTGGGCTCCAGGAGGACAGTGACAAGTAGAAGAGGGTCATCCTTGCACTGAGGACTTAGCACGTCCCCCACACTCAACAGGCGTGATATCCTTTAACCCCCATGTCACAAAACTGAGATTCAGAGAGGTGAAGTGACTAGCGCAAGGTCACCCAGCTGCTAAAGCAGAGAATGAACCCAGCTCTGCCAGACCCCATAGCCTATACCCCTCCCCAGGGATGTGGGGACTCAGGACTCAACA